GCAAAAAAAAGTTAAAGTTGAAAAAACATGCAGTAACACTGATTTTAGTGGCTGCTGTTGAAGGAACTATAACAAATTGAAGAAGCAAAGCTGGAAACTGCAAGACAAAAACTTTACCAACGTGTGGATATATGGTAGTTAAAAATAAAAACAACAACAAAGGAAATGATAGCATGAGCACACATCATCAGAATAAGTTGCTTGGACTTTATAAATTGCCACATTAACGATACTTGATGAGTCCCAGCTGTGTTACTTCAAGATCAACGTTATCTCTCTGCTAGCTTTATTCTCGTGCTCCTAGCAGGATAAATTGTTCTTGGCAACAATCCATTTAAACCTTTTCTTTTTTCAAAGGTCCACATTACATTGCAGGCTTCTAAATGTAGACTTTCCAGTATTTTGCATGTTTGTAATGATGCTTTTCAGTTTTTATTGTCAATCTTTTATCATATTCTGGACTAAAGCCTTTTATTATGTAGGGCCCCACATCTACTCTGCATATGAGTCTGTTTTTGGTAACATAAACTGTTTACGAGGTGAAGTTCCATATAAAACTTGAAATCAAAACTGTCAAACAACTGCTGATGCCAACCAGATACTCTTCTGTGCTGTTTTGTTCAATGCTAGTGACCTTAAATGGTGTCGTAGAGCATTTTACAAAAACTTGAAGAATAACACTAAGAAGAATTATAATTGTCACACAAGCATTTTGTCTTTGCGCTCAAGACGAGAACTTTTTTTTTTTCATTTTTACTATTTTTGGATCTTTCAAATTCAGAGTTTTGTGTTAAGTACAAGTTTTTTGGACACTCACACATTTAAACACACCCGAAACATGAGTTAAATGTTCTCCTCCTTCCCTGTTCGCTGCAGCTTTGCTGTTTATTCTGCCGCCTGGAGTATAGTGCGGTGTCTCTATGGAGCCCTTCCTCTTTGTCTTCCGGGGAGGAGTGAGGCGAGCAGAAGGAAGCGAGAACGAAGGGGGAGATATGAGTATCTGAGCTGCTGTTACAGAGAACCCAGAGGAGAGGGTTTCTGCAGAAAGCTGCTGCTGTGGAGCTCCAGTTATATCTGACACCTTTTCCAGTCTATCCACTGGTTCTTCATGTCTTAAGATACCACCTCACAGAAGAGTGACAAAATGGTTTGGATGGAGTAGAAACATTCCAATTGACCAGCATTAAGATAATCTGTGGTAAGGGAAATCTTAAATACTTATACATATTACATTGTTTAATTGGGTTTTTTTTTCCATTAACTGTGGGAGATCCTGTGATTTTAACCTAAATCCATTTTTTGTATTGATATGTCAGGGGAATGTTGGCATTTGAATATTCTTTCTTTGTCCTTTTATTGCAGTAAATTTTATATGCTCATATTTCTTTTTCATGGAACGTTTTTTTTACACAAAGTTGGACATTGGTCAAAATTAAAACGCACTCAGGAAGACGTCAAACTAATACCACTCCTCTATTTTTGACACTTTTACCCCCATAAATTTAATAAAGGCTAACAAAAGAAAAACGTTTCAAGACTAACTTGTTGAAAGAAAGAAAAAAAGAAAGTGTTATGTGTTGTCATCATTACACGTTTCTATAAAATTATTCATAATGTATACCCTGTTAAAAAAAACACTGGGAAGATTTAAACGATATTGACTATGCTTGTACATTTTGTGAACTACACATGGAAACAATAATTTATTCTATCAATGTAATCATACAAATGCGATCTGGACAGATGTACAACAACTCATACAACAGAAAACTGGACAAATAATTCCAACTTACAGAGAAAGACATTTTATTATGCTTCGATGATACGGACGTGGATAAAGACTTGATCCACTTCACCCAAATTCTACTTCTCCTGGGAAAATTTCACATTCACAAGAAAAAGTGGTCCAACTCCAAGCCAAACATAATCCATTTCAGCAAGGAACTTTACATATACAGCACCACAATGATTAAGGGACTTGAAGACAAAAAAGGCAATGAAAACCATCTCAAAACCTTAATGTGAATGTATCTATATAACCTGTGAATAGATTGTTTTGTATCTTTTTAGACTTTTTTTTAAATCTTCTGTACCATTTTATAATTAAATTGTTCTTTTTTTATACTTGTATACTATTACTTTTGTATATACCCCTTGCAGACACGTTTGTAATGTCGATAAAAACTTAATTAAAAAATAAATGAATGAAATTTGTGCTCTGCATTTAACCCATCACACTCGAGAGACACCCAGGTGGAGCAGCGGGCAACTACTGTATGTACTGTAAGTGACCGAGAGCAGGGATTAGGTGTCTTGCTCAAGGACACCATGACATGTGGGCATGGCGAGGAGTTGAACCTGGGACTTTCTGGTCTCAAGTCGGCATCCCTACCTCTTCACCACAGCCCCACTAAAAGTTGTTTAAAAGTAAATGTTGTTGGCTGTGCAATGAGAAAAATACAATAAAATATTTGATCAATATCAGCATTTTCATACAAATAAACTTTTGGGCATTTTATTTAAAAAAAATGAACCCATTAGTATCAATTAGACACCTTTTTTTTTTTTTTGCAACTACAAACAACATTTTATATAAGAGTTAAAGTTTGTCTGGTTGTTGATACGTTGTCAAATACCTAGAAGGTTTAATTTATCTGATCACAAATCAAGCTGAAAATTACTTTCAATTTGATTACAACATTTTCAACCTCTCTTTTTATTTTTTCTCACATCCATTTGTGGTTTTCCATTAGCTTTGATGGGGAAAAACCACAAAAACATTAGTTTAAAAGGAAAACAATTTATTGCATTAGCGGTGCAGAATACATGCGGGCATATTGATTGCTGCTAACAGCCACTTTCAGCTAACAGCACATTAAGAAAGATCCTCTTTAATCCCACTTCTCTTTAATTAAAAAATTATGTTAGCAAAAGATTTAAAAAGGGTTGCTCTAATTAATGAATCTTATTAAGTGGATTTTTTTTATCATGTAGATTTAAAAGAAAATATTTAACAGTGTTAACAATTGTTTTGTAATGTTAGTTGTAATTTAAACGTGTTGTAAGATTTAGCTAAAATACATTTTTCCTAGCTTTATTAAAAAGTGCAACCCAAACTTTGATGCCAAAGAGTAAGTATGACAATGAAAGAAACCGCAAAAAGATGCAATTTTTAGCTGAAACATTTGTATTTCTCTTACAAGAACAGCGTGGCCTTTTAAAAGTATAATATGGAGAAATTATGAATGAACGCTGAACTTTATTAGCTTTTGTTTAGCTTTTTTTTTATAGCTTTTGTTGTTTTTATAGAAATAAATTGACATTGACATTTATTGAAAGTGTAGGGTGAAATAATAATGATAATAAAAAAAGACTATACAGGGTTAATGCAGGCTATTGTATCTTACAAGACCAACCAAGTATCTAAGGGCTAATGCTAATCACTGTTTTCAATAAAGTTAACAAATGACAATCACATTTCTGTAAAAAAATAAATAAAAAACAACAACAGTATGTTTAGAAGATACTTGGTTTGATCAGAAAAAAAAATCCTTCACAGTCATGGTTTCAATTAAAGCTGCTAATCACTAATTTTAGTGGCAGTTATAATAAATATTGTATAATTATTAATGATACACATCATTTTGTCACATGGGTTTCAAAAAATATTATGACTGAAAAAAAAAGTACCTCCGATTTTGTTCATTTGGCCAAAAATACATTTAAAGATTTTGTTTTTCTACCAACAAACTAGAAAAATAGACATACAAAAGGAAAGGTAAAGGTAACAACAGTCAATGAAAATATGCCTGCTTTTTAGCTTGAGCAGCTGAACTTAATCCTCATTGTTCAATTGTTTGTGTACTCGTGTGCTTCTTAGGTTTGGTTTCTTGTATACAAGTTAAACAATAGTGTGTAAGAAAAAACATAAGGTGAGGACAACTGTTTCTGTCACATTTTTACAAAAAATGTCTGGGTTTGGACACTTAATTGTGTCTGGAAAAATAATCACTTATTGTTAACAATGTGCAAGCCCACCTAAAGCCTTCAGCTTTAATGTGTTGTTGACTTTATCAATATTAATACAAGTCATGAATACTTGATAACCTGGAAGGAAGGATAGCATGTGGCCAAACTCCTTTTTCATTCTTTATTTGTTTCACAGTATAAATATGTTAGCATTACTTAGTCTTTCTGAGTCTGCTCAGCTGAAGCAGGCTGGAGACAGACCACTGGGATGCCATTTTAGACTAATTATATGACTGGCTTTATTTCCTGTTAGTGGCTGACTTACGCTACCCTCTGAACTGGAACTGCATTTCCTGCCAGGAAGTGCAAGCTGTCCTTCTTTTTTCCAGCCCCTGTCTCACTCTCTCAGCTCTGCTGCTACTGTCTGCATGTCTCGTGGACGTCCTACACTGCATCCGAGCTGTTACCTTGGCTTTGTGCAGTTCATCTGAAAACTCTAAAAATCATTTTTTCTCTTATAATTTTAAGAAAATGTCTAACCGCAAGGTCTTTTTTGTGGTCTGGTAACAAAAACACACTGTCACCAAGAAACGTCAGTATCTTGTGACCAACTCTGGTTCAGGTTTTCGTGACCTCAAGATCCAGTTCAATGTACTAATGAACTACAACATAGATATTTATCCTTATAGTTTCTCATTGCAGACCACCTCTGGGTTCACCCCTATAAAATATCATATTTGAATAAGTAGTTTTACAATTAATAAAAGCCAGTGGTGACCTTTTTTAACTCTTTGTGCATGAAATATACATATAGGCATCAGATGCAGTGCAGTCCAATGATAAACTATATTTTTGTGTTTATGGTCATGTGCTGGATGATAATTCATTATGAATTTTACTGTTAAAGGTTCTGCAGCTTAACTGATCTTTAAATAAATGTTTCTAAACATAATTTGTTTTATTTCAAGTTCAGATGGAGAACTGAGATTCATCTTCGTGCACTGTCTGATCTGAGGATCCATCGGTTGAGCACCATGAACGGCTCAGGCAACACTCCACTCTGCTACGCCAACACCAGCACTCCGTACACGTATGCTCCAGGACTGGGCAAAATCTACTTCTCAGCTACCTTCAGCGCTTTGGGTCTCACCTCTAATCTCATTGCGTTCATTGTCCTCATCAAATCCTGCCAACGGACCAAAAGCCGCTCACGCTCTTTCTTCCTGATCTTCCTGGCTGGTCTTGTTGTTACCGACTTCATGGGTCTTCTGGTCACCGGGTCATTTGTGATCTCCTTTTATATTACGCATGTGGATTGGCGCCAATCTGACCCTACCTGCCATTTCTGCAACTTTATGGGTATGTCAATGGTCTTCTATGGATTATGTCCTCTGCTGCTTGGTGCCGTCATGGCAGTGGAGCGCTTCATCGGCATCAACTGTCCATTTGCACGTTCCACCAACATAACCAAAGGACGGACCGTCTCCATGGTGCTGATGGTATGGCTTTTTGCTGGCTGCATTTCGCTGTTGCCTCTGGCAGGCTTTGGTAGCTACCACATTCAGACGCCTGGCTCCTGGTGTTTCCTCAACATCAGCTCAGAGAGGCATGACTGGGCCTTCAGCCTGCTCTTTTCTTTTGTTGGACTGATTTGCATCGCTGTGTCATTTTTGCTCAACACCGTAAGCGTGGTGACTTTGATTAAAGTGTGCTGTGGACCAGACAGGAATCAGCGACGCAGAGACCATGAAGTGGAAATGATGGTTCAGCTTCTCTTGATTATGATCATTGCTTCGGTGTGCTGGTGCCCCTTGCTGGTAAGCTATTAAAACGTTTTCATAATTATGATAAGAATGGGCCTAATCTCCCTATCTTTAGCTCTTGTTTATGGAAAATTAAGACAAAGTTGTTTCTGAGACATTTCTAATACAAGCAGCAATTTTTTAAATATTTTACTGTATTTTCCAACACTGAACTGAGTTGTTTTTCTGGAAAGTTGAGCTTTTTCTACACAACTTTTCTATAAATCTGAACTTGGGAGCCTTTTTGGATTAATAAAAGCTCCTTGTGATAATCTAGGTTACTCAACATATTTTATTGCTTTTAGATTATGTTTAAAGCAAATTTATGACTGCTACTTGAATACTTTTATCCAATGTAATTGTATAAGTAAAAATAATTTGGCTTTGTATAATTTCTTAGAGAAGTAAGTGAAAAAAAAACAGAACGAATGGAGCTTTGTTTATTAGTTTACCTGCTGGTGGCGCCCTGACTTCAACCTGAGCAAGTATTGATCCATTCGTATAATTTTCCACTTATCTGTGGACAGTAATTGTGTGTCTTGAGAAGACAAGATCAATGGAAGAACCATTTTCAATTTATTAGAAGTGTAATAAACTCCAACATTTGATTGTGAGGCATTCTGACTGCTAACCCTCTGAGTAAATGTGTTTCAGACATAAAAGAAAGACTCTCACACTTAACTACCCAGTTTTTTTTTGTAATCAACTCAGTTCTTCAAATGATTAGGCCTTAATAAGGCATCACAAAGGCCCAAGCTCCTTTTTGTCTCTTACTCTCAGTGTGATTCGTTTCTTCTTGGCAATGCAGCTTCTTAAGCTGATATAAAAGTCTTCTGATCTTATCTTACATCCTAGAAACCATTAATGCCCAATTTGAAATGGCGGGTTTCAGCTTTTGAGAATGAATGAACCATGCCTTTAAAAGGAAATGCAGCCTATGACAACTATGTCAGATGTTACTGTCAGTGAAACATTAATTAACCAAACTCATAGGTGTATACAACGAAGGATCTTCAACCAAGAGAATAAAGTAACGTTAGTACAACATTTTTCATATCCGCTTCATTTAGAATTTCAAAGCAGCCCTTTCACTTGTATTTTTAAGTTCACACATCCTGTTAGTATTTACAGTGCACAAAATTACCACAAAGGCCAAAATCACACAAGCATTTACAAAGGAAATAGGTAGAAATCATGTGAAATTCGATCATCATCTCTAACCTTCCCTGCTCAGATCTATATTCTGATGAGCACACTGACTGCCTCCACAAACAAGGAAGCACTTTTGTTCTACATACGAATGGCCACCTGGAATCAAATACTTGACCCCTGGATATACATCATGTTTAAAGTGCCGCGACTGAGGCGAGTAAAAAGTAATGCTCTTATGGATCAGCACGGCTCACCCGGTCACTGCTCACTCCGCTTTGGTATTTTAACTTTGGGATGTATGCTACATCAGCATGTCAGAAGCATCTGCTCAAAAAAGCTCATGGATAAACACATCGACTCATCACAGTTTGTTCAGTATCAAACTGTTATCCATAAGATTATTATAACTCCATAGCATGCTTTATGGTCCATTCCATGACCCCCATCTTGGTTTTATTGCATTAATACCCTTCATTTTCTTCCATTGTCCATATTTCACTGAAATATTTCCTACGCTTGTCACTTTTACTTGTGAAATTTTCATTTCCTGAAACAAGCACAGAGCTTAAATAACTTTATATATATATATATATAAATGGGTTCAACTTAATTTGTTTGCAAACCCAGTCAAATTAATTCTGTGCAAAAATCCAGTCAGGTTTGAACTAAAGTTTGTTTGATACCCAAACAAGAAAATGTTGCCACGTTGTCATCAAAAAGGTTAAACAGAGACTCTGCATTGCTTTTGTTACTTTACTCCCTTAAAAAAAAAAAAAAAAACTGGCATGTAAATATGTACTGTAAATACTTTTTTTTTTTTTTTTATTAAAAGTCCAGCATTTGGGATAAAGTGATATGTTGGCACAAACATCAAATTTCATTTTCTCCAACTTAAGTCTCTGCTTACAAGCAGTTAAGAAAAGCTGCAGCTGCCATCGTAAACAAAAAAATAATAATCTGCTTTATATCAAGTATTTATATATTTTTAAATTTTTGGAAATACAGATTATGAGCAATGTGGTCATGGAAAATAATCAAGATTCCACATCTGGTATAGGGAAAGGAGTCTCTTCACAACGTAACATTAACCACGTCACAAACTGGACTTAGTGCGATGGTAGCACGAAAGAAAATGCCATTTCTGAAAAGACTTATAATCCAGGAGATTAAAAAATAACCGAGAACAGCACCACTGTGGTGAAGTATGATGTAAGTAGCTTGGAAATTTGATTAGATTCTTTACGAGTGGTAGTAAATGTTGGCATAAAATCTGTTGTAGTCTTTTAAAAATGTAAGATTTTCACGCCAGATAATCAGTATTTATGCCCAAAACAAAGTGCTGCAATGCTACATCCACACTGAAGAGGTTTAGATGAGACAATAAAAGATAAGTTCACAAAGTACTAATGGAAAAGGGGCATAAATCTCTTGGAATGACAGTATTTCAATTGCACCTACTTACTATTTTACAGTGCAGTATATTTGCTTTTTTTTAAGAATTGGCCTAACAAAATGTAAAATTAAAATAAGCTGTTTCAGTTCTACAAACTCCCAAAGACTTGCACTGCTCTCACAGTTTGCATGCACGCATTTTACTACAATGGCATGGATTTTGCTCCAGGTAAAAACCACATGAGAGCAGAACGTTTAACGGCAGCTGAGTGATAAATAAAAAATATAAGCAGCGCTTAGTCAAATTGTCAGTCTGAATGGAGCTTGTTAGCATGTTTGCTGCCACAGGAGATCCTTAAGGTAATATTTAAAAGGCTGTGCTTTAAATAAAAGGTTGCAGCTTAAGCGTCTGTGTGTGTGTGGAGGGGTGGCATGATGTCGTTAGCCTGAGACTGATTGGACTGAATCAGTGTTATTGTGCATCCATTTTAACTAATTTCATCTGTCTTTTCCATTTCTATCCTAATTCTTGCCTTTTTAATATTTTCTTTCTTAACCATTTTTCACATTTGTCCCCCCTTTTTTTTTTTTTTTTACTTTTTACATATTTTTTTGTATTTTTTTTTCATATCCCACTGTCATCAGGTCTTCATTGCCCAAACTGCCTTGTCTGGAAGCCCCGTGAAGGTCAAGTTCCTGATCCTCTGGATACGTTTTGCCACTTGGAACCAGATTCTCGACCCATGGGTCTACATCCTGTTTCGCAGGTCAGTTCTGCAGAGAGTAAACCCACGCATTGACTGGTCTCGAAGCTCCATTTTGACTTCGTACGCGTCGTTCAGTGAGAACATGCGCCGGTTCACACGCTCTTCACTCGGGAGCAACCTGGGCTCACATGACACTGGAAATCTGGAGAAAGCAAATGTGGTGCCGCCGTCGACAGTACCGCCATCCCCACATTCTGCCTGACGAGTCATGAATAACAGCAGACTGGTGTTTGGAACTAAATCTAGGCGACTGTAAAAACAATATATTAATATATTTGTCTGTGATCTTCAAACATTCACATGAAAATTATTTAAGGCCTTTTTTATTTGTCCTGCTTGTGTCTACTAGTACTGCCTGGGTGGAATTTTCTGTTTGACTCTGTATCCTGCCCTTTACCACATTAAATACTGTACCATGTTTATACATACATTTTTTATGGGTGAAAAACAATCCAAAATGAGAAACCATAATGAATATGAGGAGACTGTAGGAAAAAACTAAATATTGATAATGCAGTGTTTAGAATTGTAGTATTATGTTCTGTGTGTGTGTTTGACAACTTTAAATGTCTCATTTTAAGTTATATTTTCACATGTTGTCCAAAAGATGTGCCTATGTGATATAATGTTGTTTTATGAGTATTAAACAATGAACTTTAGCTGTTTTTTTATAATGTAATATTTTGAATGCACATTTATTTTAAAGGCTTTACTATACCTTTAAATTCCTAGGTCTTACATTTACTGTGAAGTAAATGTATTAAAGTTTACGTGCTGTTGAGACATAATGTGTTGTCACATTTAGATACCTGTATATTTATCTGTATTATTATATTAGGCATAAAATGCACATGCTGTTTGAATAAATAAAAATATTAAAGATTATATTCGCCAAAGTTCATGCTCAATAATTCTTTGTATAAAATCCAACAATGTTCAGTCAGGTCATCTGGACGGTTTCTTTTTTTTTTCTGAGACGTTTCATCCTTCATCCAAAGGACTTCTTCAGTCTGAGGAGCCACCAATCAAAGCTGAATCCCACAAACAGCACTGTTATGGGACAGTGCTGTTTGTGGGATTCAGTTTGTTGGTGGCTCCTCAGATTGAAGAACTCCTAAAAGGGAAAAGAAGAAACGTCTCAGCAAAAAAAGAAAGTGTCCAGATGATCTGACTGAACATTATTTGATTTTATACCTGGATTATTGAGCATGAACTTTGGTGTTTTGAACCACTTTGACATGACTGTCTCAGAGGAGTTGATGGGGGAGAGGGTGGGCCCCGGAGGTCATCTTATCACCAGCAAACCGTGTTTTTCCACTATGGTTGTGTGCTGTTTGTGGGATTCAGTTTAATGGTGGCTCCTCAGATTGAATAAGTCCTTTGGATGAAGGACGAAACATCTCAGCAAAAAATAAAAATAAAAATAAAAAAATCCAAATGACCTGACTGAATATTATAAACATTATAATGTTAAATAAAACTTTTTTTTTTTTTTTACGTGGGAATAATTACAACAAAATCTATTGACCATGGGATGATTTGGACTGATGCTAAAACACATTTAAAGACATGACAAGGTTTGTTTTGTTATATCTGCTGGTCTCTTTTTTTTTACAGCTGTACATATTTTTTCAGTTATTGTACATTCTTTGCTGCATGAGCTGGAAACGCTCATGCTGAAAGTAAAAGCCTTACTCAGAGCAATGATGATGAATAAATCTTGTTGGCACCAAGTAGCACATTTTAAAAGTCAACTTGTTAGCCTTTTTTAGACTCCAGAAAACAAGACTATAATTTTTTTCAGGCTTTTTTCCTTGTACTATAAAATCTGCAGCACACTGGTTGAATGTATTTGTACTCTCTTTTTTGAAGAAATGTAAGATTTATTTTTAAACGGCAATAAGTTTCAGATATGCCAGAGGTATTTATTAAGCGTAATCATAAAAATCTTCCCTTTTAGTTTTTAATGCAGGCTATATTAATGCAAAACTCTTTACATGCCACAAGCTTAGGCGAATGTGCAAAAGTTTTTAATTCTGTTTAGTTTTTATCACGAGAAGTGCAGGGCTGGGTTTCTTTTTGGCTAGGATCATGAACGATCATTTAGCAGGGGAACTGCCCTTTGGTATAATTTTATCTTAATAATCTGAAATATTTTATGTCAAGTTTTCATGAGCTACTAACACAGTATGTTTAGCTAAAATAGATCAGAATTTGTCAATCATGTTTGATTAAAGAAACATGGAAAAACACCCTTAAAAGAGGCTGAATTGAAATAAAACTAAATTATGCAGCTCTTTCTCCCCATGAACACGTTCTGGAAACAGTTTACGATCTTCGAGACATGAATCGCTTCTTTAGATGCGAGACAGCTGCTTCAAGCATTCAATACTTTCTCCTTGAAGGGATAATCTTGTAAAAGATTAGCAACTGGCCAAACTCTGTCTTTACCCATCTATAGAAGCATGAAAGCACTTCCAGGAAGATGAGAGAATATCTTTTCCCCTCCGAATGCTTAAAATAGTGTTAAAAGGCAGTCGTGCCAGTTTTTGTCCAGTGGCGACAAAGATCTTCTTACCTTTGAAGTGCACTAATCCCTTTGGACTTTGAAGATACCCAAAAAATGTATCTGCCTTGTTTTTCTTTCTTTTTTTTTTTTTTCCTCCCAGCAGGTTTCGATTAAAGGAATTGTTTACTGGTGCTTGTGTAACTTTCTACATTCCCACGTGGTTCACAGATGTCTTCAGCTGAAGTAACTCCAAGGGTCATAGTTTTTGTGATTTTTACCTTTAATTAAACATGAAAAAAAATGTATGTAGAAGAACTAGCAAATTGTACAATCAGCATTTTATTGTCCACCTTTAAAAAAGGGAACCAGGAAAGACTGTATTACAGATGGAAGTGCCCTATGTTTGTTTGTTTGTTTTGCATCAATTGCATTAAGAGAGTAAGTCATTCAAATCTCTGATGGTAAACTGCTCAAATAAAGGACTATTTAAACAATTATACATGTTGGGGTTTTTTTTACAACTGGCCGTAACAGAAAACAACCTCTGTTATTTATATGAGTCTACATTTTGCCATTTTTAACGTGTCTAATAGCTTCCCATACGTCAAACAAAAACACATCGGGGAAACCAAAATCTCCCAAAACCGAGTCCAGTGCCTCAGCAAAGTCATCGGGGCTCTTCTTGTCTTTGCCCGCTTCCACAATGGTGGTTGCTGCAAAGGAAATTTGAAAAAGTTCAGTATTTCATGTTTTATTTGTTGTATTCAAAGTTAAATGCAAATACATGTAAAATTCAGACACAATAATGTCAAACGTGTTTTTATTCTCTGCTACTTCTAGTGAATTTGTTCAAAAAATGATTAATTGCATAGTCTTTAATTTAATTATGTTTTTTGTATATTACTCCCTCTAAAATGTGGAGTTGAATATTATATATGCAACCATGCAAATGCTTAAAAAAAGCAAGTATGCTTTCCAGAGCAACAAATACATTTAAACCTTATAGGATGCATTGTAAAAATGGTTGTTTTAGAACTCATAAGCTTAAAAAACAATATTTAAAGGATCATATTAAGCAGTCTAAATGATATGAAACAGATTACAAACAGGTATATTTGATTTTAAATACATTTGTTTTAAAAGTGCTCATTAAGGCACTATATAACACAATATGTATATCATATTTGTAGCTCTATGGTATAAATAAATAAATAAAACCTTCCTCAGATTAGTATTGTTTTAAGTTTTCTGCATTTATCCAGAAAGTTTAGCATATGAGGCATGCGCTTTAAAAAGAGCTAAACAAGTGGTAAATAATCCAAATTTCTGTGCAGGAAAATCCATTCTGAAAAATGAATTTTTCAATTTTTTGTTTTTGTTGACTGTAATTGTTTTTAACGCAGCTGGCCACATGTGTTAATCAGTGCTGGTAATATAAAGATAAAAATAAATTAAGGACAATAGTTCAAATGTCTATTTGGAAATGGGGCATGAACGTTTGGGAGACTGCACACAGATATCACCCTAAAATGATCAGCGTATTAAAACTCAGCTGTCATTGTTTCTATTTTACAAAGTGGTTTTTATATTGAGGGGAGATAATTGTATCATTGACTATTTTATTTACAGTACTTTCTTAACTGTCACACTATAATGTTTTAGTGAACTTATGTATGTTTTATCCAACACAGGCATACACTAAAGATAGAATAAAAACCTAAATCAACTAGAAGTCCTTCTGGATGTGTACACACTGTGCTGCTAATGAGTTGAATACACATTTAAACTATAAGTAACTCATTCATGACTTCTCATTAGTTTGCATATGTTGGACACCAACTACGAGCGTACAAGTAACTTTTCTCTACTTCTACCACATCTGTAACTCATTTCAGATGCTAGAGCCAGGTTCCCGGGAGGGGGGTGGGGGGTCTATGTGTGTGTGTGAAAGAGACAGGGAAGAGCTGAGCACCAACAGCTCAGGTCCACTGTGAGTTACAGCATGACAGCAGCTCAAGTTATTTATTTTACTTATTTATTTCCTGTTACATTAAAAAACAGTGAACAGTCGACTCTGACTCACATATCTATAACTTACTTGGGGGTTCAGACATAAATAAGGTCCAAATACTGTGTAACTCATCCCTTCGTCTGGCTCCATGAGGTGCAGAGGTTCACAACTACCGCCACAGAGATGGAGAATCCATCTGCAGCTTTCTTCATCACGGATTTATTTGATTTCTTCTGAGGCGTGTTGATCAATGTAAAACTGACAGGGGGTGCAGAGAACGGACCTTTACTGATGTGACGTTTAAAGCCACGATATGCTCCAACGTGCTGTGCACAAGTTCTGCAGACCACTACAGATGTGCGTAAGCTTTGCATAAGTCAAGGTGCTCATTAGAAATCTGTTTTTTGTAGGTATGCAAGTGCCCAGCTGGTTTCAGCTTAGAAACTTATAAGTAACTTACACGTAATGTGTGTGAACTTATCTATCACATACGTGCACCGGTAACTTACGCCTAACTTATCAGCAACACGTCAGCGCACACTGAAAATGTTGTGCCTGAACAAAATGATTTGCTGGCCATCGTATATCAGCATGCTGATAACGTAGTCAAAACTTACACCTAAATTAAATTACACATTAAGAGTCTAAATGTATTTTTCTCTTTTGTTTGTTTCTTTTTCATTCCTTGGAATGCACTGATGCTTTATGTCACTGGGTGACAGGGACTTTAAGTTTTTAATAAGTTCAACAGCTAATTAGTTCTATCTTTTTTTTTTTTCAGCTTCTTGTTAAATGTATTTCATTGTTTAGCATTGGAAAAGCCCTAAAAAGCCTTACTGTATAAGAATTCAAAACATGTGACCTAAAAATGACTAACATGCTATAGCATCTCCTTGGAGGCATTTAGTCATGATGACAAGGATGTGTGGTCGTGTTGAACCGAGCATTTCTCGTCCTCAAACAAATCAAAGAGGTGTTTAAACATAAACACAATAAATTCCAGTGATTTCTTGGTTTGCATGTTAACATCCGTTTGGGACATGATCTGCTCCAGGAGTCTAAATGGTGACGTGGAGTTTGTTTTAAAAACACAAGTGCTATCTGGATATTCTTACCCAGCTCCAGGTCTCTGATGCCCATGTAGCTCTCCAACAGTTCGTCTACTTTACTGGTGGCCTGTTCTTCAAACTCGTTCTGTTGGCAGAGCAGACAGGAAAAAAACACAGATGTGTTTGTGGAAATGTGGTGACAAAGGCTCTAAAAGATTATAATATATCATCCTGCCAAAACATGCGAGGCCCCCCAAAAATCTTGAATTATGTTCGACTCTAAGAAATATAAATACAGTTAACATAGTTCAGTCAGGTCCTTCATCCAAAGGGCTTCATCAGTCCGAGGAGACACAACAAACTCAGTCCCACAAGCAGCACACTCACATAGTGGGCCAACCAGTTTGATGGTGATAAGATGGTTTCTGGGACCCGCCCTCTTTGATCCTCGGACTGATGAAGTCCTTTGGATGAAGGATGAAACGTCTCAAAAAAAAAAAAAAACGTCCAAATGACCTGACTGAACTTTGTTGGATTTTTTTTTTTTTTGCTGGATTATTGAGCATGAATTTTGATAAATAGGGAAAATTCATGAGTTCAGACAAACCCAGGGAGAGTTAATTGCATGCATGCAGGATTTATGAAATGTTTCAAACTAACAATGCTTATCGGCCTTCAATGTTTTTAAGCAACAATATCAGTGTATTCACAGTGCAAAATTAGTAAAAAAATAAATAAAACGTGAATGTTTTTGATCAAAGGCTCTAAAAAATGAATAGTTAGTTTATTTTTTGTAAAAGTGGATTCTTTATGGAATGTTTTGTTCATAAAGGTCAGGTCAGGTGTAGACTGTATTGCACAATGTTTGGAAATAAACAAATCCATACAAAATTATCAAGTCAGAAGGTGCAAAAAAAATCAAGTTCAAAGAAGTGCAGCTCTCTTTGTACGTGCACATGTTGCTCTCTGACCACATTAGGAAGTAGCAGTTTCTGTCCCGACCAGCGTGTGGAACAACTCACCACTTCCTGAACTGTAGCAGCCCCCTTGGAGCGCAGTCGAAGCGTCTCTCTCCCGTTCACCAACTTGCCCTCATTAGATTTTGGCGCCTTGGTCCTCATTCCGATCATGTCTAATCCCACAGAGAGAAAGTCGTTAATCCAATGGAGCCATTTGTTTAGCTCAGTGTTGATCAAATAGAAAACATCAGTTCATTCAACTTGGATGAGCCTTCCAGTTCTGTTTGACCTCAGTGTCCTTCAAGTCAGTGTTGGGCTATTACTTCCCAATAAATTAGATTATCTCACTAGACTTTACATTTTTGGAAATTCAGTATAACGGAAGGCATTCATATCCAAACTACCTTATTTGGGCGTGCACTGTTCTTCCCCCTCGTGACGACATGTTTCATTTTGAAATGGTAAAGCCTTTATCCAGACTTCTTAAGAAGACTATCACCTTTAGATTTAAAAAAAGACCTTTAACAATTATTAAATTATTAATAGGAGTATAATTGGTTTGTGTTTTAGGGCCTTTATAGATAAACCTCCAGTGTGTAACACTGAAGTAGTGACTTTCTAAACTTAATCTTTACTAAGTGCACCAAAGTTAATAGTCAGAACTTGAAGAATATTTATATTAAGGGTTTTGATGCTTGAAATTGTTCCCGGAGAGTCAAGTCAACAAGGAAGACCCTTGGATCTGTGTGAAAAAGCACATCTGTTTTTGCACCATAGGTTCGGGACTCCAGAGAGAAGGAGAATGACTTCCAGGGATCAGAGTCAGATGTCAGCATCAGCTCTGTCACACAAAGTTTAAAAGTGATGCTCGAAAGCAAACATCCTCCCAACCCTGCGAGCTGTGGGTGGTCAGATTTATTTATTTATTGCTGACAAACATATTCTGTGGCAATCAAAGTTTGTATGACCCCTTTGCTTTCACGAGTGAGAACGACATATTGCTATTAAAATCTAGACATATTCATACTCCACTTCTAGGACAAACGCATAAACAAACAAATTGTTTCTTCAAATATAGAATTTATCAAGATATTTATTTATTTTACTAACTTTTATTTAACCAAGCACATCCCATTGAGATCACAGATCTCTTTTGCAAGGGAGGCATGCATGTTTTTTGGAGGCAACCAGAGTCGAGAAGAACATGCAAACTCCACACAGAAAGACCCCAGGTCCAATCAGGGATTGAACCCAGGACCTTCTTGTTGTGAGGCAACAGTGCTGACCACTGAGGTGTCGTGCTGCCAAGCACAAGGTCACTGACCTGGTTTGCACATCAAGAGCTGCAAAACCAGGTAAGGCCAGTTGTCATGACGTGGTGCAAAAAAAATAATGCAGTCTATTTTTTTTTATCTCTGGATATTTGAGGGCGTTTCTCACAAATTTCTCCTATAAGCTTCAGCATGCCATTTTGTGTTGGTCTCTGCTCAGCTCACCACCTGTGGAAAGGACCAGACTGATGCTGAGATCCTTCACACAGAGCAGGTAGAGGCAGGAATTTCAAGTGAGATGGAAGAACAGGGCAAACCAGGCATTAGGGAGCACAAGCCAGTGTGTCTCTGTGCCAAAACGGCATCCAACGGAAAACGCTTTTGCCAAAACCATAATGTGAGTTCATCAAAGTGAAACTACCAGATCGGTCAAGGCCTGGGCTAACAACGACCGCTACCGTTGCTGTTGACAAACAGGGTGCTGGCGGAAATTGTGCTACTGTTAGTCGAAGACCACGAGGAGGGAAGTGTGTCAGGAGACAGAGGAAGAAGAGGAAAATCAAGAACGTAGGACTGAGGGTTGATCCATTTAGAGAGGACATGGAGATAGTTGGAGTGAGGACAGAGAGAGATGGAGGAGGATGACTCGCTGTGGCGACCTCTGAAGAGGGAAAAGCCGAAAGAAGAAGAAAGAACAGGGCACGTGGTTAAATGTGTTGCAAGAGTTGGATACAATACTGATCCTTTCTTATAACCAGAATCCCAAGTGGTCTGAAACCCAGATTCCCACAGCCTGCAGCTTTTGAAGAATATCTGTTCAATCACTCAGTTCAGTCCCAATTACCGTGTTTACCGTCTGCTGGTATTTTAATGTGCATGGAAATGGACTGGAGCCTTGATTTATCAAGGGTGACAAGAGATACAGATCAGGAGCAGGAAGTCAGACACTTGACCGTGGATTTGGTTTCCTGTCTGATAAGCAACCAGTTCACTCTGTTCCACTCCTTTTATACAGGTAGAGCATTTTACGGAAGGAAACAGTCAAAATAAAAACCCCTCCCAAAGCCTAAATGAAACTTCCATTAGTCGAGTGCACAAAGAATAGATTTGTGTAAGCAAATGTTGCCAATAAATGAATCATGCCACTTGTCCCACTAAAGATGCAGGTTTTATCCTGGTTTGTCTATATTTCAGATTTGATCTTCAAAGTTATCAATTTTTTTGTAATTAAACTACAACCACTGGGCAACTGTCTTTAGCCACTCCACACTCCTAAAAATTCTGCCCCCAAAGAAATAGATTTTTATGTATTTTTAAATGGTCTCAATAAAAACTGTAAATTTCCAGCTTGTTTGAAATGTTCTGGTCATTTGACACGTTTTGGCACATTTTCAGTTCAGTCTTTGGAGTGTTTTTTTTTTGCACATCCCTGTGAATGTTTACCTAATGTTTTTATGCTGAACTACTTGAATATGTTATGACATGTAACATCACATGTTAAACTTTAATGACAAGCAATGACGCATGAGTCACTCACACAAAGTCAACCATTTAACTTTTCACTGTACTTTTGTGGAAAGGATTGTAAAATAGATGAGCTGTTGAAGCAAGGAGTTTGAAGACCTTCGGCCACTGTTTTTAAAAGGAGAACACCTTTTTAGAACAAGAAGTAGGTGCAAATGTAAACAAGTATTTGTAAAACAGAAGTGCAGTGTTGGCCTTTTATGCATTTTAAAGTAAAAAATGGAAAATGCCAAAAAGTATCCTTTAAAAAAATATTTCTGTTGGAAAGCTGTTATTTGGACATTATCTGCAAGTTATAAATGAAATATAATGCTATTAGGTTTTGAAACAAGCCTCTGTTTCAAACTTCATGTTTCTTTTTTTTTTTTTTTTTTTGTCTGTGCATGCCTTAAATTATGTTTTATTAGTCATAAATAATCCCATCTGAATGAGCTCTCCAAACATCTAAAAGTTTTGTTTATGTGCGTTTTCTTTATGGAAGAAAAATTTCAAACATTAAGTTGTCCTTTTCCTTTCAGAAGCACTTTAGAAGATCATTTTTCCAAAGAGGGCTAAATCAATCTAAGGTTAAACATTCACTGTAGCGTCAGCGACTAACAACTTTCGCAGTAATGTTGGCAGGCAGCCAGCAATCTTTAAACAGTCATCTCCTCTCTTTCTGTTTGGTGTATGAAGAACTTCCTGGTTCCCAGCACCAAGAGCTCTGCTGGCTTTCAGTCTGTCATTTATTAAGAGGGATAACTTTGACATAACTGTTGAAAGAATGGCATTTTCAGTCCAAATATGTACCAGAATCATGAGCCTTAATGGCTTTGAGTGCACAGACTCGGCGTCAGTGAATATATTTGGTGCAAAACTCAGCCAACATCTTTGACCAACACATTCCACTCACATACAATACACATTATTTTATGTTTACTCACCAAAGGCCTTCTTAGGCTCCACAAGGCGCAGAGTAAAGGGGATGCCTCTTGATTGCTCTTTGAGCATCTTTGCCACCTCATAGTGTCGACATCCCACAATGCTCTGGTCGTTTATAGCTTCAATGTGGTCACCAACACAAACCGTCTTCAGCCGATCTATGGTGCTGCCTTCTTTTATTCTCTGGAGGTGGAAAGAATGGCCTGAACTCATACTTGTCCAAACTTAATCAGAAGATGTGTCATATTTAGGAGGGTTGACTGTTTTTTTTTTTTTAGAGTTTTCTTTGTAAACAAAATTTCTGTATGTCTCTGTGCCATAAAGTTTAATTAATTTTTTATCACTTTCTGTGTTCTGTTTGCAAGCAGCCAATTAGAAACACACAATTTCTTGTACTTTAACGGTTGTTTTGTTTTCCTTTCATTCACCTTAATGAAAGCATATCCAGCTCCGTTGTCTGTGATAGTGAGACCCAAAGCATCTTCTGTCTTTATCACCTCCACTTCTTTGGTCTCCCCTCGGATGTGAGCGAAGATGAAGTCCTCCAGTCCAATCTGTCCCCCCAGCAGCTTCTGCATGTCCACTTTATGGGAGTTTAAGGTACAGAAAAGGATCTAAAGAAATGCACACACCAAGAAACAAACAAACATATAATAATAATAATAATAATAATAATAATTTTAAAAGCTGATTTGACAATATCCAGTTTTCCTCATTCATTCTGCAAGCATTAACTGTTTGCAGATATTGGTGTCTGTCATACAGCTGCATAAATCTGCAGAATTATTAAGGATTGTTTTGGATTGAGTATTTACTATATTAGAATTGCATTACAACCATGTTCATATGTATTACTTTTTTCCTCTCTTGGTTGTAACAAATTTGCCTGGTTAAAATGCAGAAAAAGAACTTCATTTTGCCCACCTTCCCCCATCCCCCACTCCAAACAAATAAAACTGCAATATAAAAATGAGACAGGAGAGGGCAGTAGAGTCAAAAGGTTTGTTTTTAAATTTGCTTTTCCCAGTCTTAAACTCAAGCCACTAAAATAAATCAAGATTGTTTTGTTTTTCTTTTCAAAAGTTAAGAAAATGAAAAGTAGTTCAGGTATTGTAACCATTTTACACAAGAAATAAACTATAGACAACAACAAAAAAATGATCAGCCTTCAGCTTCAAGGTCTTGTACTGTTTAATAATCCATGAAATAAATCAAAGATAACCTTAATGAACTGTTATCTCACAATACCTGTTCAATAGTGTTGCCCTTCAAACAAAACTATCTGACTTGGGTTCAAGGTCGTCTCATATATCGGTGCATTAGATGTTCTGCTTCTCTTTAATCCAGTAAAGATCAAGAAAAGTATGTGTGACACAGAATCGACAGATATTTTCCTCTAAATTACATTTTGTCTGGAGTTTCATATGCAGTGCAAGGTCCTGCAGATACACAAGTTGATGCAGTAACTGAACTAATATTTATTAAAATATTCTGGTTCCAATTCTTTTTTTTTCTGATAGTACATCACGGTTTACATCACAGCCTACAACTTGCATGTAGTCAACATACAACATCAAATGGTAGCTTTCAATACTCCACACCATTCTGTATAAGATTTCAGAAATTTGAAAGCACTTTATATTCCTGTGCTGCAAAGGAAAATTGCGCGGTGCCGAAGACACAACCTTGGCGTGTGCCTGCTTGACAAGATCAAACACATATTATGCTTCCTGGCCATGAACTGCACAGATAGGAAAGCCTTCAAGATAGCCTTGAGCCTGATAAGTAGTTTATGATAACCAGTGTTGTATAGTACTTTTGTCTCTTGCTGAGTGCTAGTATGAGGGGTTCAACAGAAAAGTACCAATCATTAGTTTTAGTAAAGGGTTTTAGAGGCTAAATTACTGTTGTTTCATTTTTTTAATACAGTACTTTGTGCATTTTTATTCAGCTAAGTATTTTCTGTGGATAAAATGTGCTCAAAATGTAAGATCATTTACCTCAGATTTTTTTTTCTAAAGATTATTCTTTAACTATTGCATTCCAGATGTCTGTCCAAAGCACAGAAAACATCCTGACATCCAGGGGGAAGTCTTTAAGGATGTTCAGCAGTAAAAACAGAATCAAGACAGAGTGCGCAAGTATGGCCACATCTGATCCACTACAGGCTTGGTCTGATCTTACATCAGACTCCGGCCTCGTGAGCAACTGCTTGCAGTCACCTGACCACACAATGCAGTTTACTGGTCCAAGTGAATCACCTATAGCTCCATATAGATGTGTAACCTTTTAAAAAATATATTTTATTGATAGTTTCACTTAATTTCTTTAGATCACAAACCTGTACAGATGTCTAAATATACTAATTGAATGACAGGCTGAAAATGCATTTATTTAAGGATTTTGTTTCAGTTTTCTTTATTACATTTTCACTAAAACACTTTGGGAGTAAAATCGTCATCAGCTGTTTTTTGTTTTGCTAGTTTTTTTTTTTTTTCCCCCACTATTGATTTATTGCCTGGAAGCTTGAGTACAAAGTCTGGCCGATATTAGTAAGTGGAAATTATCTTCAACAATGCATCATGGAAAAAAAAAATGCTGGAATGGAAACCTAACACCTGTTTACAAGAGTGAACAACTGGGTTATTTGAAATTTGGAGGATTATTAGCGTCACTTTGTAATCGTGTTACCTCTGAGGGGGAGATGTTGAACACCTCTGCTATCTTGGCATACAGCTCCTTGACATTGGTAAATCCATGGATGCGCCCCGTTGGGCTCCCATGAGCCAGCTGGGTGTGGAAGATGAGCCTTGGTCTCGGGTATTCTGGTGGCTCCGTTGGTGGAGGTGAAGGTGGTGAAAGCGGAGGAGCTGTGGGCGCCATACACCCCTGATTCTGGGCCTTCTGGTCCTCCATGACCTTGACCACTACTACCTTGGGAGTCCTAGGGGCTCATACGCTCGCCGTTCTGCATCGACCCAAGTTCAGGTTGTTAACCCTGCTGGTGAGCCACTTTATCAGCAAAAGAAACAGTCCTTCCCCACCTTTAACCGATCAGACACCCAACCAACCACCCTAAAGCTCTGGAGTGAGGAACACATAAATAAGTGATGAGTGTAACTTGGTACCAGTAGCATAACCAAGTAGAAACCCAATACCTGTTGACTATATATGTTACACCCCAGCCTTTAGTAGCTCACGGACAGAGAGCACAAATAAAGCACACCAGGTAAAGGTTTTTAATATGTGACACAGGTAAACCTCTAATCCTTTCTACCAGTTGAACAACATGGCATGTCACAAAACCAGTCAACGTGTGAACAGTCCCTTAAAGTATGAAAATGTCCAGCATATCTGCAAAATGACTCCTACACTGGGAACCACAGACAATGTCCCAGTGTTCCCGGCAGTAAGATGATCTTACTGGGCAGTCAGTGAGATGTGGCTGCCTGCTGGCATTGCTGAAAGATAAAAGGTTGTTGTTGGGGTAAATTCTTGTTGATGTTCTGACCTTTTACCCTCAACCTACAGATACATCATTTAAAGAGCGAAAACCAAACATTTAGTCTGCATAGACTGATTCTTTTTACACTGTATGCTTCTTATTTTTGCCTACATCTCTGAAATGCATGTATGATGTTGAAGTGTTTTTGAAAATATATGATAATGAGTGAAACTAAAACAGACGAAAGGCAGAGATAAGCTTGAAAAGGGGATTTACTTTTATCGTTAACACATCAGAAAGCAAGTCATGCTGTGTTTGGCTTCCCCACAAACTCTGACATGTCACAAAAATCCATGTCATGAGAACTTGTGTTCTTATTCTCACCATTTGTCCTTGACATTGAGTGTGAATCATTCCGTGAGAGGCACAAACCATGCTACCAGGAAAAATATTCATATTAGGATACAAGAAGGAACATTGCGAATATGGAAATTCCCCCAAAAGTCCCATTTTTAACATGCCAGCAGGGAATGTGTCAGTCAGATGATTCTGCTTGTAGCGGACCGATTTCAATTCCAGGATACACAAGGATAAATATCATGTACGCAATCAATTTTTGATATGGTTGTGATAAGTTGTCCTGGCACGTGCAACGTATCATAAGTTCAATTTGATAAGCATGTTTAAATGTGTTATCATTCAGAGTGTCAGTATGTATTAAGCTAAAATGACATATTCTTCCAGAGTAGAGTGAAACAACCTGTGTTGTTCTTTTCTAGTTTGCTTCATAAGCATGACCATGCACCTGTGATATGAAGGGCATGGCTGCAGCTGCAAGTGCATCACAACTTTTGAGGCCAAGGTGTTTTTCCCCACCAGGTCCTCCAAGCGAACCACACTGCATCTTTGTCTTTTTTGTTTCTTTTTACAGTAATTTGGCAGAACCAAAGCAACATGGATGTTATAGCAGATCCACAAATTCTAGATGTGAAATTGTTTGAACAGCCACAAATATTTTCATTTAACCTGTGATATGGCGGTACAAGAGGCCAAAGAAGCACACTCGTTCTCGTTGCTCGGAAAAAAAGAACGTTATATTGATTTTGTTTAACGTAAGCAACAAAAGTCAATAATAATAAAAGATACGAGATTCCTATTTTCATATGCCAGCTAATTCTTCTAGATGTAGGTAGAGAGTTGATGACAGCTATTTATTAAACTTTCTGTTTGCAAAGCTAACTTTAACATTTTTGTATTTTTAAGACTCTCAGTTTATAGGCTGTAAGAAATGGTGTGGGTTTTTTTTTTTTCTTCCACTGTTGTGGAAGTCGTTTGCAAATATTGACGAAACCAAGGATGAATGAATCAGGTTAAGTCGGTCAATATTAGCAAAAAGTGTGGTCTGTATTTCACTTCTTGTCATGTGATACACTGTAGTTTTTTATTTTACGTTTGAAACTATGATGTTGTAATCTGCTTTTTAATTATTAGCCATCATTTTCCTTTGAACCCAATTCAACATGGCTGCCACGGGCAACTGACCTTAAAAATCACAAAAATGGCTATAATTCAGTCCATTTTGTAGGTACTGAGATCAAATTTGATGTGGTAGTAGCTAAGGGTAGTTCACAATACAAATTTAAGTGACATCTTACAATGCTACAAGAGATTGTGGATAGCATTCTTTTTCAGCTATGTCGTCATTTTCAATGTAAAATAATCTTCATCTAAAACTCTGGATTAAAAGTAGAATTTCTTGAAGGAATGCATTAACCAACACCCCCACCGGAGGAGGGGGCATGCCAAAGTCAGAGTCAGTCAGAGTCAGAGTTTCAGAGTCAGAGTTTCTTTATTGTCATTCGCGCCTCATGTGGTACATGTGGTGGAGCAAAATTATGTACACAGGGTCCCAGTTACATCCAACAATAAAATGTATAAGAAAAACAGTAATGACATCTAAGATATGAACTAAGAAAAACATCAACTAAATATACACTAAGCACTCATAACATAAAACATTGAACATCAGCACAAACATGAACATGAGTCTGTGAGCAGATGTGCACGCATGAACACATCAACATTGAAACAGATCAGCAGCAACATGAAACAGATCAGCAGCAACATGAAACAGATAAACAGCAACATGATATGGTTTTTCACAGTGATTATTCTAGTTAGAGATTCATGAGTCTAACAGCCTCAGGGTAGAAGCTGTTCCTCAGTCTAGTGGTTCTACACTTAATGCTCCTCAACCTGCTGCCTGAGGGGAGCGGGGCAAAAAGTGTGTGTGCTGGGTGAGTGGGATCCTTCATGATGCAGGTGGCCCTCTTACTGCATCTGGAGGTGTAGATGTCTGTGATGGTGGGCAGGCTGACTCCAACAGTCTTCTGTGCAGCCTTCACCACTCTCTGCAAAGCTTTTCTTTCTGCAGCTGTGCAGCCTCCATGCCACACATTGATGCTCGAGCACAGGATGCTCTCCACTGCACACCTGTAGAAGGAGGTGAGGACTGAGCTTCCCAGTCCAGCTCGTCTCAGCCGCCTGAGGAAGTAGAGTCTCTGATGAGCTTTCTTGATCAGGCTAGTGGTGTTGTTGCTCCAGCTGAGGTTGTCATTCATGTGTACACCCAAGTACTTGTAGCTGGAGACCACTTCCACCGCAGATCCTCTTATGTTCAGGGGGGTGTAGGTGTTTTTGTTCCTTCTGAAGTCCACAATCATCTCCTTTGTCTTCTTCACATTGATGTGAAGGTTATTCTCTCTGCACCAGCTCTCCAGGTGTTCCACCTCTTGCCTGTAGCTGGACTCATCATTGTTTGTGATGCATCCCACCACCGCTGTATCTTAGCAGCAGTTAAACTGATTTGTTCCACTTTGGAATAAGCTGTTGGGGGGAAAATCAGTTTTATGTTGTGTGCTTCCTTGACTGATGAAGCCTTCTGGATGGAAGGTGAAACGTTTCAGCACACAAAAAAGGAAACTGTCCAGATGACCTGACTGAAAATTGTTGGATTGTATACCTGGATTATTGAGCATGGACTTTGTTGGTTAATGCATTCCTTCAAGAAATTCTACTTTTAATTTTGCAAATGTTATCATGTTTTCTATTGTGCCCACCTGGCTTAAAGTATATGGGTTTTTTTTTTACTTTTGACTATGATTATCATCACTTCACCACTTGCTCTTGTTGAGGGCAGATACATTTCCCCTCTTCTCCATCCTCTGCTTTGCTTTGCTGCTCTGTCCTGTCTGTGAAACTGCTTCTGAGCCTTTCTCTACGTATCTTCCAAACCTTAATTTTGTGGATCTGGTCAGTTGGTCTCTCAACACAGTGGACAAGCTTCAGACAACCTGAACTGCCCAGCCGACACGTATGCAGATGGACATGTCTCTGGAGGAAGTGGAATGTGATGTGTCTATCTCTGCTGCTGATCGAGGATGCCGAAACTGCATATATAATTGGATTTATGATAACAAGTTTCCTGTTTTTTTGGAATTGTCTGGTTCCTGGTTTATCAACATACAAAAAATATGGCTTCAGCTAATCTGGAATGGTCAGGCTGCCACCTATTTGAAGGTTTGCTCCGTGTCTCGAGCACCCAGACTCTATTGCTTAGCAGACTGGATCACAAACTGGATGTGATTTGTGAGAATTGCAGGCCATATGGGGCCCCTACTCGTTGGCAGGATGGATCAAACCTCGAGGAATATTCTCAGGCACGGGCCAGTGGTGTGTCCACTTAATTTGGACATTTCAGAATCTATGTGAGACCAATAAAGACTCAAGGCAGACATAAATCAGTAAGTTCTGCCTGTCTTCAAAGCAATTATTTATCTGAATTTGGCCCCCTCAGTTGGCCTTGCAGACCACCTTATCTCAATTTGTCTGGAGGCTCTGTAATAGGGACGAGTGCTGCAAATTAGCTCACTCTATAAGCACCATGATACAGGCATGGGAGTGCTGCTTTATTCAGTTGGTCTATGTTATTGTGTGTCAGTCCCGATCAAAAAAACTTAATAACTAAATCTGATGCTCTGCCTCCCTCCCTCCCACTGAGGAAGCCCATGGATCAACTAGGGGGAACCAGCTGAATCAACACTGGGTCATCATTTTAGGACTCTTGGATTCTCGCTGGCGCTGTCCTTGGCCATTCCCCAACACCCCCAAGAATGTTTACGGATCTCACCAGAGGGAACTGCTGATTATTCCATCCTTATCAGAATGCCTACACTGCTTCAGGGAGTGTCCTTGGACATTCTCACTGCCCTTGTTGTCTCCCCCCCCCCACCCCCCCCCCCCCCACACACACACACTGCAGAATGTCTATGTCACCATGTGCTTGTCTATGTGTGGGGTGTTTTTTTTCAATATCAGGGTCTTTCTTCTCAGCCAAGAAAAAATGTTTGATAGGATTTTTATTTTGTGCCTCCAAATTCTTTACGTGTCACTTTCACTACTTTTTGTCTGTCTAAACAGGTCTCACTCGTAAATAAGTTTTCGAGACTCAATGTGATTTATCTGTCTAAATAAAGGTTGAATAAATGAATGAATGACTATATGGAGCCATACAATTTGGTCTTGATGTATAGTTTTTTGACATTGAGGAATATTCACTAACACCAAAGTTCGTGCTCATTAATCCAGGTATAAATCCAACAATGTTCAGTCAGGTGACAGGTCATCTGGACGGTTTATTTGCTTTGAAACATTTCATCTTTCATCCAAAGGATTTCATCAGTCCTGGGGGTGGGGGGGAGAGGGAAACCATCTTATCACCATCAAACTGGTTGGTCCACTATGTAAGTGTGCTGCCTGTGGGATTGAGTTTGTTGTGGCTCCTTGAACTAATGAAGTCCTTTGGATGAAGGACATAAAGTTTCAACACAAAGAAACTGTCCAGAGGACCTGAATTAATGTTGTTGGATTTTTTTACCTGGATTATTGAGCATGAACTTTGAAGACACTGAGTAATATTCACAAACATTAAATAGTTTTTGTTTTGATTTTAACTTTCCACATAAAATACTAAAACCAGAAGAGGAAGGAGAATATAATTAACAGCCACGTAGGTTAGTCTGTTCATGTTCCTGTTTATAATCCAAGCCTATTTGATCTTTCTTGAAATGTTCCATGTATGGTTTTAAGGAAGGTGTTGATTAATCAAATTACATGAAACATTTTCCCACTGCGATGTGAGTTTTTGTAATCTACAGCAATGTTTCAACTCAGAAAAGCCTATAATTGTTCAGGGTGGCGTAGCCTACGCCACCCTGTTACGTTACACACTTCCTCGTGAAGCGTGATTTCCTTTTTAGAATCTGCCTTGTTTCCAGGCAGCAGGGACATCAGGGAAGTCCGGCGGCTGGCTTGTGTAAAGGCCAGATTGTGTGAGGGTGGTGCGTTTGCTGTGTCATGTGGTGATACACTGCCTCCTCTGTTTCTGGTGGCGTGGTGGTGACTGAGCTGCCTCGTGAAGAAGAGGGGAAAGACATTCAAAGTTGATATTTGTGTCCCTTTCTCCAAACTGCTACCCAATAAGAATCTTGTTCATTGCATCCAAGGTCTTTGTCAATAATGTGTTGACATATTGTGATTTTTTTTTTAGTTTTAACTGATTTATCATGGCATGACAAATCAGTAATATTACAAGAAGCTATGATGTGTAAACATTTAAGTTGCATTTAAAGTGCTTCCTTGTTCTTTTAATGGAGGGCGTTTCCTCACAACTTTCAGACAGAGGCTAAAGTTCAGGGTCAGCTTCTGGAAACACTTATTCACACTTCTCAAGGTTACTTCAAATAACTGCAGTGTCAGCTAATGCAATCCAGGTAAAGATGAAGTCTTCACAAACTGACAGCCTTGTACAACTTATCCCATTTAAGACTAAACAATCACTCAGTGTAATGGCATTGTGACTTAGATTCCAGCCCAATGTTTGGTCTTGTGGTCTTGGATTGCTGACTGTACACTACAGTAGTTAAGAATCATTGCAAGGTTGCTCGAGTTGTTGGTTTTTGTTTTTTTTTCCAAATGAGGAAATTCTTGCAACAAAAGAAGTGGTTCAGGGTGTGGTATTAAACAAAATCTACATACACATATTCTGTGCTAGAGATTTTTATGTGTGCACAAAAGTCACTTTATAGTGCAGTATACACCATGAGATTAATTTAGCATAGTTAAATTTGTTCTACTGCAAGCTTATGCATTTTAAATTTTAACTCTGACTTCAAACGTTCATTTTAACCATATCTGTTATTCATTAAAAAAAGAAAATTATTTAAACATAAATTAACAAAACATGCATTTGAATTGAATTCTTCAGATAGACTTGGGACTTTTTTTTTATTATTAATTTGGTTAATATTATGACTATATATACTGACCTTCAAAAGGCCAACAGAATGTATGCATGATAGCTGGCATAGGCCCCACCCAGGTTTATATGACTATACAGCACTTTTTGTCTTTATAGATTACGTTTAACTAATGGCACATCAAACAATCTATTCATGTGTGAAAATTACCTTTCTCCTCAAAATTAATGCTCAACACAGACCCACACAAGTGAAATATTATCACGCCCTGTATAAAGTAGGTCTAAAAGCAGGGACAGCCTATTTACCATATAAGGTAAGTAGGCGGTCCGTTTAGGCCAACTACCTCATTCTGATTGGATAATACATGACATGACCGTTTTTTCTTACAGCTTCGCCGATTCTGATTGGTCTTCTGACTTGGTCCGATTTCAGATCATTATCCTAATCAGCTGTGTATGAAGTGGGGAGGAAAGGGGGCAAACGGAGAAGCAGAACAAGAACGCTGGAGTTAGGCGTGGAGAGTCGTTTCTACACGAATCGACCGCCACTGGCTGAGGGAAGAATGCTTGAAAATAAAAAAGACAGGCTGAAAACCTTCCTGAGGAAGATCGACGAGAAGGCCATCGTGAGAATAAAGCACTTCATGAAGGAGAGGTGGGTGGAATGAATGTGGCTAGCTTAACCGCTATCTTCCGCCGGCTGCTGGTAAGCATCATTTGGGTGGATGCAAACATGTTAGTATTTCTTAGCTGACAGCAGTCTTTTCGAAAAGAAAATCGTTGTTCTAGTTGTTATAATAATATACTATTTAAAAAAAGCTGTGCGAAATGTATTTTACGGAGGAGTTCAGTCAGTCTGTGGTACAATCCGCTAGCATGCTAACCATTCGCCTAGCAAAGGATGTGATATCTTAATTCGGATAACGTTTCGTTTTTTTTTTTTTAATTTATTGATGAGATAATTTAATTTTAACCCCTTTAAATTAAATTAGCAGTTACTTGTATCGGTGAAGTAAGAATGTGGCAAATGGGGCATTTATTTATTACTAAATATGTTAGCAAAACACTGGGAGTTAATCTCTATCTTTATGACTCATACATAAAGCTGAAAAGACCTGATCCCTGTTGAGTTTAAAGAAAGGCCTTGAAACCGTTTTTAATGTTTGTTTATTTTTTTCAGTAAATTGCAAATATTCCTTAACTGGATGCTTATTTATGTAAACATTGCTGTGGACTGTGTGTGACATACTCATTGACTAGATTGTTTAACTTGTCATCCCCACTTAACACAATTGACCCACATTGGTGTTATGTGAGGTATTTGTTTGTACAGTAGTACTAACTACTGTAGGTAATCCAGTGAGTGTAAATGAGCAGCATCACTAGTAGAAATTTGTAAAGAAAATCTGATCTAGAGTTGTTCTGGTTCTTAATGTCGTCTTTGCCTACAGCTCAGAAAACATGACCATTCACCTGCTTGTGTGTCGTATTGACATCAGCATTTACTCTTCCATCATCCAGGCCTGTTCAGTTTTCACAGCTGTCCAGCCTTGGAACAGACTTGTGTGTACAACCCCACTCACTCGCAACTCTCATTTTATTTCTAAACTCCTTCACACAAACTGTGTGCCTTTACTACATCCAGACAAACATGCCCATGTTTTCTAAGAATAGTCTATTTTTAGGCTTCATGGGTTGACCACAGGTGGTCTACGGGATTATATAAATGCTCTCAGAATGTCGCTGTCAAGTTCTCGGTGTCCTCTAGATTTTGCCTTCGACATTCCAACCCATAGATAGCTGTTTACAGGAGTAAAAGAGCTCTGCCAATCAGAGGTGGCCTGCTGGTTATCAGTGCACTTATGGTGAGTCTGTCATATAGAATGGTGCGTGGTGATCAGTTTCAAGGACACATTCGTTTCATGGCTGTATAAGGCTTAAGTTAACGGAGGCTCTTGCCATATTTAAGAAAGGCATTTAATTGGTCTTTTAGTTTGTTTCCTTTTTATATTTAATTCTCCCCATTTGAGTCAAAATGTAAAATTGTACTGTTTCAAATAAGCACAGTAGTTAATGGTACCAAAGCAAGTTTAAAAACTGGGCATTTTGCTCACTAGTTTTGAACAAGATGGTTTTTGTACACGCATGCAGCATTCTGTCAGAAAAATATAAATTGCCTGGTCGGGAAGAGACCTGGCACAGCTGCAGAGCTTGTGGAAAAGCAAGATCCTAGAATAGGCTGGGTGGGGCAGCTTTGCATACATCCTGTTGGCTCCAGGAAGATGCTCCCAGGAGAGCGCTTCAAAAGTGCTGTGGGTTATGAAAATCTTGTAGGTATTAATTATGAGATTAGAGAGAACACCCATGTTTAAAAGTCAGAAAATCACATCTACAGGACTATCGGCTAATGACGGGTCACGTTGGTACCAGCTGAAGTTGTGCTTTGCCTCTGTCAGGCTAGTGCTAATGACTGCTCTGCTACCCTTGTCACATAGCCAAAGAAAGGCTATAGTCTTAGCAGTTTTACCTTTAGCATCTCACAGGAGCCTGATGAATTCCACTGGAAGTATTTGTTAAAAGTCAGTCTATTTAGGCAAAAAGACATTTTAAAACTTTGAATAAAACTCATTTGGAACCAATTTGTTTTTGGAAATGGTATTGTGATGTCGAGACAAACTTCTCTTCATAACAAAGGAAGTATAAAATTTGTATGTCCCCGTTACCTTTTTTTCATGATCACATTTTAATAATAAAAAATAAAAAAAATAAATGAAAATGAGAAATGTTTCGGGAACTGCAATTTGCATTGCAAAATTTTGTTAAAGACTAATGTAAATGACTCGGGTATCAAACAAATATGAATTGGTTCTATTAATTTTTTTATTTTTTTAATTTTTTTACATGCAGTGTAGGGGTAAAAAAAAGTATTTTAGACAGATGTTGTCAAACATGGGCCTGCACAAAGTTTTCAAGACCAGCAGTGTTTAAATAATTTATACCACAACTCACTTTGGCACATTGCTCATTCAGACAAGCAGGTGTCCTAAGTTGCTGTTAAGTTATTATTATTATTATTATTATTGTTATTATTATTATATATTCAGTGCATATATTTTCACATTTGGTTTATTAATCTTGTGGGCATGTTTTTATCCTGTTCCTTTTCTCTGCATGCTGCCCAGTCTCTCTTGAAGAAAGGCCTTCTCTGTTTCTGTCCAGTTTGCGTGAAGGAAGTTGAGGAACAAACTGCATGACTTCCTATTCCAAAACACAGCCTCGGTTATTCAGTAACTCGCACACAGATCTGTTTATATTTGGGACAAATGCACAGTTTCCTGCTGTGAAGCATTGGCAGGGTGCCAGAATAATGTTTTAGGTTGTAGCTTTGGTTATGATGGTGCAATCAATGTGGCTGTCATAAAGTAGGCCAAATGTCAACCCCTTTTGAATAAACAAATTGACTTATTAATTTTTGTACACTGCATTACAACAGAAAAAGCTTAAAGGTGTTGTTTTGAAGATGTTTACTTTAATTTCCCCTTTTAGTTGAAGTAAATGCAGGTGCAATGATCCATTTAAACAAAACGATTTTGAGGAATCAGTTTGTTGCCTTTAAAAGTTAACCTTGTTGTCCAGAAGGTGGTGCTATTCCATCATGTGGCTCTGTTTATGGATTCTGTTTAAAGGTTTTAAAACTTCAAGGAAGTCTCGCATGTGAACCTGTGGTTCATGTTGCTGCAGCTTTAGTCATAGGAGAGTTCTGCTTGGAGGTAATTTTGTCTTTAAGGGCACTAGAACTGCTGACGATCTGTTCCAGGACTGCTAGGATCATCTGTCTCAACTCGGGACGGAAAATTAAAGCATCATATCAATACACCTCCAAAAATGTTATTGACTTGAATATCCTGTGTTTGAGAAGTCCGTCTGATTTGTTCAAAATGACAAGATTTTGGAAGCTTTAAAGCTGTTACTTTATATTATTGAAACCTTTTTGTACTGAGTAATTTCATGCCTAATTATTGGCACACAAGTACCTTGTTTTGGATTAGAGATGAGTGACTTGATACGTCTTTGGAAAATGTTGTTCAAGCCTTGTTGATATATAAAAATGTGAACAGATAAATGTGTTAACAGTTTATAAAAATCCATAGTATTGTATTAAGTGAGTGCTGTTGTTTAAGGAAAATTAACAAGTTTGACCCCTTGTCAACATGTAAAATAACTGCTTTATTCATAGTTATACATTTACCTGCTTTGAACACTTTCATTTTTAATGTCTTAAGATTGTGGTATTTTAAGTAAGAAAATTAATGATTGGGGAAAGTATCTAATGAGGCCTTTTCGTAAACATGGCTGAATGATAAAACTGTCCTATTTATTGACTAATGCAGACATGATCAACAGCTCTGCACTGTCAGGACTGTAGCCAGAATCATGTTTGGGATGACTTAATAACTGACCAATATTTTTCAAAGCCAGCTAGCCCCCCACCCCCTACACATCCTATAGGTTGATGTCACATGTTTGCAGTGGAAACGTGGCAGGTGGTGCGTGAGACGGGGACAAGTAGGTGATATATGATTAAAGCATGGCTGATGACGCGGGTGCAGCTGGGACTATCTTGGTGATGTCATGTACATCGAAATAAACGAATGAGGAGTGAATCCTGAGTCGTTTATGCAACTAGTTTAACAAAGTTGTTTATGCTACTAGTTTAACAAAGTTGATCTATTGATTTATTTATTTCAAAGAAGCTTCTAGGCTTCTCGTGTGTTGACTGTTCCTGGGCCCTCCATTGCTTACAAAGACTAAGCCAGTTATTGTCATGTCTCTATTTTCTGCTTTCAAATCCACCTTTTGTGTTTGCAGATGGAAAGAGGCCATTGTGATTGTTGGTTAGATTTTTAAAACCTTGCAGTGTTTCTCTGAACCCATGCATTTCCATCAACTCCCATTGTTTTTTTTGTTTTGTTTTTTTTTTGTTTTTTTTTTTTTGTTTTGTTTTTTTTCCGCAACACTGCTTAATCCTAGAATAACATGGGAGCTTGGTGAGTATTTTGGGTTTGAGACCAAACTTTATACATTTTACTTGGCTCTCTTCCTACTGTGGCTTTATCTTTATGATGTGCTCTGAAATGCTTTGGTCACTTGCAGTAAAACAGACCTTTACTCCCTGATGAGTTGGAGATAAGAATATAAGAGCAAAAGGTGTTGAGACACTCTGTCATTCAGCCACTTGCATACAAGGTTTTGGGACTGTGGAGGGCAAGAGTTGGGAATTAAGTTAATTATGGACAAAGAGAACGTTTTGCTAAACCAAGACGGTGCTGCAGCTGATTCTTGCGATTCTGTGGATCTGGCAAGGTAAACTGAGCATATCTGTCTGCACTTTTCAAAATGTCAGACGAGGCAAAATTTACATGTTTGAAGAGCATTTTAAAATTCATAACATATTTTTCCACTAAACTATATGAATAAGTCCAAAAAAGTTCAATCTGGTCCTCTGGACATTCAAAAAAACAAAACAAAGCAAAAAAAATGTAGAAACGTTTCGTCTCTCATCCGAGAGACTTCCTCAGTCTGAGGTGCTGTTTTCAGCTCAGTCTCTTAAATAGCACCTTCACAGAGTGGATCAACCAGTTTGCTGCTGACAACCAAAACCAGCTGATCACATGCTCAAGAAGGACCATCAGCCTAACAATGGGTCATTAGCATATTTAAGAGACTGAGCTGAAAACAGCACCTCAGACTGAGGAAGTCT